CCTCGTCGCCGCGGCCGTAGACCTCCCTGGCCAGGGCCTCTCGCCGCCTCCGGCCGCCCCTCCCGCCCGCACGAACCCGCTCCGGGAGATCATGGACCGCGGCATCTTCCACGCGTTCGAGCACCTCGTCGAGACCGGCGAGGTCCCGTTCCAGGAGACGGGCCCCGAGCCGTCCCGCTCCTTCTACGCGGCCAGCGAGGCGGCCGCGGCCGTGGCCCGTGCCGTGGACGCGCTCGGCCTCGCGCCTGTCCACCTCGTGCTCCACGACTCCGCCCTCGCCGCCGGCGCCGCCTTCGTGTCGGCCAACCCGGCGGCCGTGCAGAGCGTCACTCTGATCGACGCCACCACCACCTTGCCGGCCTTCCCGGCGGCCGTTCTCGGCGTGCCGGCGCTGGGAAGGCTGGTGCTGCGGGTGCCGGCATTGTTCAAGGGGCTGGTGCGTCTGTCCTGCGCTCGGGGGATGGATGCAGAGGAGGCTGACGCGCACAGGGCGGCGGTGCGGGGGCAGGGGAAGAGGGATGCAGTGTTTGAGGCCTGGAAGGCCATGAACCATAGTTTTGACCTGAGAGAGTGGAGGTGCTCTTCAGAGGAGGTGAAGAGGCTGCCGATGATGGTTCTGTGGTCGGGTTCTTGGTCGGATATGTGGATCGATGAGGGGAAGAAGGTGACCAAGGCGTTGCCGGACGCCAAATTCATCTACCATTACGGTGGCCGGTGGCCTCAGGTCAGTCTGTTTGTCAGTGTCTACCCATGTTTACCAATTTCATTTTTGGGGAGTATGCGTTGTAGTCATGGATGGACCGATTGTCTTTTTTGTGTTAGCTTAGTTGATTGATATTGAGATACAGACATAATCATGATTGGTCCTCTGCCTCTATGTAGATCACTATTTCTCTGCATCATTGTTTCAAAGAGTTGAGTTAGGACTGAACCAAATTAGTACGTACTTGCTCAAAGTGAGACTTCTAGAGATTTCAGAATGAGATGATGTCGATCAAACTGCTAAATGTATAGGATGATATCCATTTGGTAGTATAGCACAATGCACACTCTGTAACATGCTAATATACCGGCCTGAGCTGTTTCTACTAGCATTGTTATCATGTTTTCAGTTGGCATTTTGAGAAACGAGTTAGTAACCCCAATCTCATTCCTGTATTTTATAGGAAACCAACCAACTAAAGAGCTCCCCTTATAAGCTATAACTGATATATGACTGTCTCTAGTCTCCCCTTATAGCTAAAGAGCTTAACTAGGGTCATCTTGCCGTCATCGTGGTGGTATTTTTAATTAGCCTTTGGTTTGCAACGTACTACTGTATTATATAGCAAAGAAGCAAGCTGAGATTATGGCTGGTTTTTCCCTTATTTTGCAATTTCAGGTGGATGCATATGAGGAAATCTCAAAGTTGATAGCAGAGTTTGTGACCATGTTACCAACAACTGCGACAGAGCACGGGTCGGAGAATATGGACCAATCATCCGGCGAATCAGCAGATGCTCACAGCGATCATCCAGTTTCATGAAAACCAGAACTATCTGATTCATGGTTAAGAAATGCCTTGCGAGCATCCATATGACCAAGCGATGTTCTTCTGCCTTGGACAAGTCTTAAGCTTGTTCTGCTAGAAGGGGATGATGGTCTCTTCCTTACAATCGCCCCATTGCTATCTGTTTCCCCCTTCATGTAAAATGATATCTCCCGGTGAAAGTTTGAAAAAACTTCACCTGTAGGGCCTCTTCTATTCCTCTTTCAGGTGATGCTGTCAAAATGTAACTTGAGACTGTTTTGCCTCAGGGAAGTAGGTATTCTGTAATGAGGCTGCGCTCGCATAACCTGATTTAGTGTAACGTTGTTTTGTTGCCATGGATAGGTAATTGTACTCCTGTACTAACCAGTGCATTGTACGCTCAGATAAGTTTTACTTGCACTTGTAATCAGTGCTGCGATGCGATGCAGAGTACACTGTATTCTCTAGCTGGCCACCAGGCAGTTGGAAATTGTAGCTGAGTATCAAAAATAGTTCATTTTGTTAAGTTGGAGAAAATTACCGTGTCCCAAACATGTTTGAATCCACATTCTTCTCCTATCTTTTAAGTTGGTTTATGCTAAACATGTCCAAGCTATTTTCTTGCTGCTGTATATCCATCAGTATCTCTGCGGCTCTTCAGATTAGTAGTCTGATCAAACTGGAACCAATGTTCATAGAATATTGAGAAGCTTTATACATAAGGGGTTTTACCATACTATTCAGTTTTGCCTCTAATATTTCAAAATGCTAAAAAAAAATGCCATCATTGCGTTAGACGCGTACTATGATGGTATGCTTTGTTCCACCATTATCTTCGGGCCAAAACCCATTGACCATGTTATATGATTAAAATACCCTTATCGTCAGACCCTTGTTTCTTCCTCTTTTCTAGTGTAGGAGATAGAGTTCATACCCCATTTATTTGGGAACGGATGAGCAAAAAAATTGGTCTTCTCTTTAGCCTCACGACTAAAGTTTGACTGTTGGTCCACACGACCAGAAAATCCCATGTCCAACCCACCGCGTGATAGGATAGCTTCCTTCTCCTCCACACACTCCCTGCTCTGAAATCCTCTATCTGTGACCATTAATTCCCCGTCGTTCGACCTTGAGCTTGTTCCCTTGAAAAAGAAAGTCGAGCTTATCTCTGGCTCGTTACCCGCTGACTTTGATTTAGCGCGTAAACGGCCTTGAATTCTCATCAGCAGATCAATCGCTGCTGCAGAAAACTCCAGCGGTATGAACAGTATACGTAGTGCCGTGAGCTGAATATTTCAACGGCGAACCCCGGCGATTTGGCAATCTTGGGGTGGTCCTTGATGTTGAGGGGCAGACCCAGACCATCGGTATGGTCAGCAACTTAATTTGACCCAACACGCAGCTCCCACGTCGCAACGGCCACGCACCCCTGGTCCTGGGAACGCCATGGACTGCATTTGTTTATCGTCGCACTTTTGTTCATTACGTAATACTTCCGCCGGTCCTTTTTACTCTGAATATAAAAGTGCGACAAGTATGATTGGAGAATTCCATGGCCGGCAGCAACGGTATCAACTCACATTAATCTGTCCGTACCTATCAACCTGTCGCTCACACGCAGCCAACGGAGTGTCAGCTTGGGAGACAAGCGCGTGGCGGTCAATGGCCGATGGAGGAAACGAATTGGCTGGCGTGGGCATGTAAACGAAAAAGGGAGCCACAGAAGCCACCGCTTCACCAAAAATACTACCTAGGGACACACCAGCGCTAGCGTAGCATCCATGACGACGGCGCCGGCGCTTCTCCGGGCCTCCACGCCGGCCCTCCGGCGCCACGGCCTCCTCGTCCTCTTGCTTCTGCTCATCGGCGCTTCCGGTGTCGCGGCGCAGGGGGGTGGTGTGGTTCCTCCGCGGCGGCGGCGGCAGGTGGTGGACGTGGGGGTGATCTTGGACACGAAGACGTGGGTGGGGAACATGAGCTGGACGTGCATGGAGCTGGCCCTCCACGACTTCTACGCCGACGCTGGCCACGCCGGCTACCGCACCAGGCTGAAGCTCCACCTCCGGGACACCGGCCCCGGCGCCGTCGACGCCGCGTCCTCAGGTACTTGCGCCGTCTCTCAGACGGAGTAAGTTTTTTTTTTTTAGATTATCAGACGGAGTAAGCTAAGGAGGAAGACGGAGTGGAGTGGGCTGAGAAATGGGCCGAATCTTCTGCCGTGGGCCGAGCATGGGTGTTTTCTTTAGAATCCTCTTCCTCTCTCTCTTTCCGAGCCCTCCGTATCTCGTTTGGCCCATCGGCTCATCGGCGTGGCGGCGGCGCGGTTGCCATTTTCCCCGTCGGCGGCCGGGGCAGCTCTGCTAGCCTCGCCCTCGGCTAATCGGCTCTTGTCTTGCTTCTCGCCACACCGTCACGCCGCCCGCTCCGGCATAGAGAGAAGGTACCCCTTCTTCCCCGTGGCCCCCAGCTCGTCGCGCCAAGTAATTTGGCAACCCTCGACCTCGAGCCCCAGCTAGAAGACTGTTGTGAACTCGCGGTTCCGGTTTAAATCCATGCCAGGGAGACATTAGATCTGGAGCTGGAGTATAATATGAGTTTGCCGGTCTCCTGATTTTATGGGCACTTGAAAAGCTAGGGCCGTCAACCAAGAATGATCTTTATTTTTTCAACGGATAATGCACCCGTGAATTTGTTATTAGTTGTGCTGTTAGTTAGGGTACATCTGACATTGCTATTCTGAGAGATTTTTTTAATCAATTTATCATTTGTTATGAATGAGAACCATTCAAAAAGCTGATATGTATAGATGCTTCTTCCTTGCAGTTGTTTGATAGAAAGCCTTAATTTGTTGTGAAATCTCTTTCTAAGTTATATAAGGATTGCAGGTCTTGATCTACTGAAAAATGTCCGAGTGCAAGCGATTGTTGGGCCACAGACGTCAACTCAGTCTAAATTTCTTGCGGAGCTTGGGAACAAATCAATGGTTCCAGTCATTTCATTCTCTGCAGATTGCCCGTCACGATCCGGACTAACTCCATACTTCATCCGGACTGCATGGAATGACTCCTCTCAAGCAGAAGCTATTGCCTCACTTGTTCAGAAATACAACTGGAGGGAAGTCGTCCCTGTCTATGAGGATGATGATGATACCAATATCAAATTCATTCCCGACCTTGTTGATGCCCTCAAACAAGTCGACACTCGTGTTTCATACAGGTGCAAGATTCATCCTTCAGCTACAGAGGATGATATGAAGACAGCTATCTCAAACTTGAAACAGAATTGGACAAGCGTATTTGTTGTGCGTATGTCGCATGCTTTGGCTCAAAAGTTTTTCCAGCTTGCCAAAGATGAAGGGATGATGACCCAGGGCTTTGTCTGGATTACCGCGTATGGCTTGACAGATATCTTTGATGTGGTTGGTTCACCGGCACTTGATGTGATGCAAGGAGTTCTTGGGGTGAAACCTCATGTTCAAGATACCGTGGAACTTCAAAACTTTAGACAGAGATGGCGCAAGAAGTACCGATTACAAAATCCAGGCACCTCATTAAGTGGGCCCACAGTATCTGGCCTCTATGCTTATGATACCATATGGGCGTTAGCATTAGCAGCAGAGAAGGCTGGATTTGTGAATTCAGACTTTAGGCCGTCTTTAACAAAGAATGGTTCCACTGACTTTGACAGAATAGGTACTTCAAAAGCTGCTGAAAAACTGCGAGGTGCACTCTTAAAGGTCCTTTTTTTTGGCATCAGCGGGAAATTTCACATTCAAGACATGCAGTTAGTATCATCAAACTACACAATAATCAACGTTGTTGGTCAGGAGAGAAGAGAAGTTGGTTTTTGGACTCCAGGATCTGGCATCTCTGGTAGTCCAAAAATGAAGTCTGATCTTAACACCATCGTATGGCCAGGATATAATGAAACTGCACCCACTGCACCCAGAGGCTGGCTATTTCCAACGAATAAAAATCTCACAATAGGCATGCCTGTGAAACCTGGGTTTGAAGAATTTGTAGGATTTGACAATGGTACTGCCACGGGGTTCTGCGTCGATGTATTTGAGGCGGTAGTTAATGACTTACCCTATCATGTACCCCGTCACTATCGGGAGTTTGGAGACGGGAAAGGATCGAGTAATGGAACTTATGATGAGCTTGTCTATGAAGTTTATCTTAAGGTATGCATGGACTGTTTTCTGTTTCATTCTGCTTCATTGATCATTGGTCTTTAGTATGCAGACATGTAAGATTGTATCTCTGCACATGTTCGCATTTAAAACAAAATCAATTCGTGATCATCCCGTCTTTCGCTATTTTTGCGTTTCATTCTCTATTTAGCCCACCTCATGAAAAATGATAGGCCTATTGATTTGAAGCAAGTACAAGAGGGGCGGTCAGTAGCATATCTCTTTTTTCCGCTACTCTCAAAACTAAACAAGCAGCATTGCGGTTGCTATCGAGCTATATTCCCATTCAATGGAACCCATCTTTCCAGTCAACCAGGAAGATCAGGACAAATAGACCAGTAGGGTATCATTACACTCCTTCTGACAAGGTATGATGACATATAGGCATATAGACCATACTTCCTAAATAGGTAAAGTCACCACCATAAGCTGAGGTGAGGGCCTGAGAGGGTGGGGATCGAGCTTCATGGAATTGTGTATGGTCTTTTCAATACACATATGTATAACTTCCCTGGAATTTCAGTTGCGCTTCTATCCATCACTATAGGACTTGGGTTCAAGCAGCTTTCTTTGTTATGAACTTGTTTAAGCCATGTACAATAGTGAAACAGTCTACATTGATAAGTTTGACTCTTAAGTACCAAGTTACCAGTTCCACAGCAAAAGCTACAGTACCACCTTTTATTGTGTTCTAAAAAAATAATCATTACCCACTCTTAATCTGTAGAATATACTTGTGTATGACTTGCCTCCTCCGGTGATTAATGGTTTAGCCTGACTGTAATTTTTTTATATACACTTGTAAAGCCGTATAGCCTGTACTTCGAAGTTTCCCACTTACTTTTTATATGTTGGTGGCAGAATTATGATGCAGTTGTAGGTGATATAACAATCTTGGCCAACCGTTCTTCGTATGTGGACTTCACTCTTCCTTACACAGAATCAGGGGTACGCATGCTGGTTCCAGTCCAGGACCGGCGACAGAAGACTGCATGGACATTCCTCAGGCCTTTGACAGCTGACCTATGGTTAGGAACTGGGGCCTTCTTTGTCTTCACAGGTTTTGTAGTCTGGAGTATTGAGCATAGAATAAATCAAGACTTCCGAGGTTCCCCAGCCAGTCAAATCGGATCAGTCTTCTACTTCTCCTTCTCAACACTAGTATTTGCTCACAGGGAGCAGATCCTGAACAACTTCTCAAGAATTGCAATAGTTGTTTGGCTTTTCGTTGTGCTAATAGTGCAGCAGAGTTATACTGCAAGCTTAAGCTCGATCCTTACGGTGGAGCAACTTCAGCCAACAGTCACAAATTTAGAAGAAGTTGTCAGAAATGGGGGCAATGTTGGCTACCTCAATGATTCTTTCTTGCCTGGGCTTTTGAAAAGGTTGAAAATTGATGAATCAAAGATGATTGCCTTTGACTCCCCTGTGGAATACGATGAAGCGTTATCAAGTGGAAAAGTTGCCGTCATTGTTGATGAGATACCATACCTTAAGGTGTTCCTCTCAAAGTATTGCCAGAAGTACACTATGGTTGGACCAACCTACAAGTTTGATGGATTTGGTTATGTGAGTGCCATTTTTCCAGTCAGTAGCCCATTTTTAATACGGTCAAATCCTATATGCTGAATCAATTTTCGATGCTAAGTTGTTGCAGGATCCTGCTAGTAACTCAAATTTGCATATTAATATACCATCAGTTTAAACTTTTGATTAAGATTACAGTTTCAGCTCATGTTTGAGTTGTACTTCGAGATTCCTAAATTTTTCGTATGTGAACATGCTAAAGCCTAAAGGACAACTGCAAGATTATACTTGTTTTGTCAAGAATCTAAAATGCGCGATCATGTTCTGGGGAAGTAGTGCTGATTCTATGGTTATCTATTGGGAACTACAAGACTTGCTTGCTTATTCAAGTATCCAGTAACGTGATAAGTCTATCTACTTGATCAGGTTTTCATCTAGTTTACTTAAACGGTTAAACCTTATCCTTATATTAGACTTTCTGAAGTTCATTCAGAACGATGGAATATTATGATCAATATGATTGTCTCACCTTACCAAGGGCTTGCATGAGTGATTAAGATAACTGCCTCCGGTTATTTTGGGCTGGTTTAAATTAATAATAATATGACTGGCTCAGCATTTTGCCAGACTTGTACTATATCACCACTGAAGCCTTTTCTGATCCTCATCGTGTGCTAACTCTGCAGGCATTCCCTCGAGGCTCGCCACTCACACCTGATATTTCGAGGGGAATACTGAAATTCGCATCGGATGACCGAATGGTTAAGATGCAGAAAGACTTGTATGGCGAGACTTCATGCCCCGACAAAGATGACTCCCAGACTTCAAGCAGCCTTACATTGCAGAGCTTCCAGGGGCTGTTCATCATCAGCGGAGCATCTTCAGTGCTGGCATTAATCCTGCACGCTGTCATAACCATTTATAACAACCGACACGAATTCAACAGTGACGGCAGTCAGAGTCCATGGCGCAGATGGCCTGCCATTCTCTCCAAGCTCTTCCACGGGGACGACAGTCCTTCTAACACTCCAGATAAAGATGAAGCCGCAGCGGAAAATGCTGGTAGTGCGGTTGAGACCCCACTAAGCATACGCATACCTAGTCACATCGTCGAGCACATGTCAGACACGGACACAGGAAGCCCACCAGAAGGGGAAGGAACACCAGGCAGGGAGCTCTCAGTTCAGGACACGGAACCGCTGTCGTTTGCTTACATGCATTCTGAGAGGGGGCAAAATAGAGCAGCTTCCTTGTCTCGGAGTGGGAGCTCGATCCGCAGGAGACAGATTAGCATGGAATGAACTACTGTACTTGACGAGTGCATAGCTTACTGATCGCTGGGATTTAGTTATTCATTTAGCTGTCTGTACATGTTTGCAGTTTATCTCTTTTGAAACGCAATGCTTGATGTGCATTGCCACATTGGCGATTGTTGGTAGCTGCGAGGATCAAGCAGTTCTGATGCGTGTGGTTTCTGAAAAAACTGTAAAGTGCTAGCCTGTATGCTGGTTTTCTCACCCCCCTCAAATTCGAAGAAATTATCGAATGACGTTGTGCCACCTGATGCTGTTTTCCAGTACTGGTTTTACTTGTTTTGTTTTTATCAAATGCAAAGTATACAAAAATATGCAACGAGCATTCTGGCACTGTCACTGCTTGCTTTTGCTGACAGTAACTGATGAGCTGATGAGACGTCACATTTGTCTCTGATTCCCACACACACATGTACCTTGAGGAATCGACGCCGAATCGCCGGTCGGCAAGGTCGCCAGAACCACCATCCCCATGGCCCTCGAGGACTTCTACGCCGCCTTCCCCAACTCCTCCGCTCGGGTTCGGATCCTGCAGCGCGACTCCGGCGGGGACGTCGTCGTGTTAAACTGTATATTGTTAGTATATAGGAGTCGGTTTATATCTGTACTTATCTCCTGTAACTACCTGTATATTGTGCCCTAGCTGCACCTTATAAATACATCTCCCCGGCCACCACATTGGTTGCGCCGATCCAATCTTCTCCATCTCCTGTTTCACATGGTATCAGGCCTACCCGCGTGATTGCATCATGGGCTCCCCTACGGCTTCCGCTTCCTCCTCCGCCGCCCTCACCACGCTCTCCCTGCCCGCCGCCTTCAATGGGCCGCCGGCGTCCGCCGTTCCCTCTCCCTCTGCCAGCCTCATCACCGCCAAGTTAAACACCTCCAACTTTCTCATCTGGAAGGCACAAGTTCTTCCTCCTCTCCGCATCGCTGGCGTCACGGGCTACGTCGATGGCACCATGCAAACTCCCTCCAAGTTCCTGGATCCCGATGACAAGGGAGTGCGTGCCCCCAATCCGGAGTATGCAACCTGGTTCCGCCAGGATCAGATTGTCCTCAGCTACCTCCTTGCCTCTATTTCTGATGAGGTGCTGCAGCAAGTTCATCAGCTGGAGACCTCTCGTGCCATCTGGTCACACGTCGAGGAGATGTACACCATCCATTGCCGCGCCAGCATCGTCCAGATCAAGATGGACATGGCGGTCTTCAGGAAAGGAGCCCTCTCCATGGCGGACTACTTCGCCAAGATCCGCGCCAACGCCGACCAGCTTGCAGCCGTCGGCCGCCCCATGCGCGACGAGGACATCATCACCGCCGTCATCACGGGCCTCGACAACGACTACGAGCCCCTCATCACCGCGTACACCACTCGTCCCGAGGGCATGACGCTTGGTGAGTTCTACTCCCACGCGATCTCCTTCGACAGGCGCCGTGAATACAACGCTGCCCGTCTTCATCTGCAGCATGGCGGCTCCTCCGTCAACTATGTCGCCCGCGACTCCGCCGGCAACACCAACAACTCCAATCGCGGCAAGGGCAGCTACCGCGGCAAGGGCCGTGGCAACTCTGGAGACCGCGGCGGCTACCACAACAACTCCCGCGGCGGCGATCGCGGGAACCGCGGTGGTGCTGGATCGCGCCAACAAGGCGATTTTGGCGGCAATCGCGGTGGTGATCGCGGTGACTACGGCGACCGTGGCGACCACCGTGTCCAGTGCCAGCTCTGCCGCGGTCCGGGGCACTACGCTTGGGAGTGCGGTCAGCGCTATAATCATGCCTTTCAGCCGTCCCAGTCCAAGATGGCTGGCCTCGCTGCTGCGTCCCCTCCCTCCATCCTCGGTGATCCGGCTTGGTTCACTGACACCGGGGCCACGGATCACATCACGGGCGATCTGGATCGCCTGACGGTTCGGGAGAAATACCCTGGACGAGACCGCATCCATACAGCAGACGGCTCAGGTTTGCACATAGCTCATCGTGGTCATGCCATTCTTCCTACTCCCTCTGCACACCTTAAGCTTCGCAATATCTTACATGTTCCCAACGCTGACAAAAACCTTCTCTCTGTCAATCGCCTTGCTGTTGATAATCATGCGTATCTAAAGTATTATCCTACTCATTTTCTTATGAAGGATTTGACCACCAAGAAGGTTCTACTCCAAGGCAGATGTGAAAATGGGCTTTATCCCATTCGGCCATCAACTCATCATGCACTGTCTTCCGTTAGATTGTCAGCCGAGGATTGGCACGCAAGGCTCGGCCATCCATCCACCCAAGTCGTTCAACGCATTTTATCTTCCAATAAATTAGCTTCGACTAGTCGGTCTATGACCCATGTGTGTAATGCATGTCAACAGGGCAAAGCACACCAGCTTCCTTTTCCTAGGTCTTCAAGTGTTTCCTCTTTTCCATTAGAACTCGTGTTTTCGGATGTGTGGGGACCTGCCAAAACATCATCTGGTGGGTTCCAGTACTATGTCTCATTTATTGATGATTATAGTAAATTTGTGTGGATTTATCTTCTCAAGAGAAAGTGTGATGTGTTTGATGTTTTTCGTGACTTCCTCGCTCATGTTGAACGCCTCTTATCTCACAAGATCCTATGTGTTCAATCTGATTGGGGTGAGGAGTACGAGAAGCTTAGCAACACATTTTTTCGTCAACTTGGCATCATGCATCATGTTTCTTGTCCACACACACACCAACAAAACGGTTCCGCCGAACGGAAGCACCGTCACATTGTTGACATGGGACTTTCCTTATTATCACATGCGTCTATGCCACTACGCTTTTGGGATGAGGCCTATCTTTCAGCATGTTATCTCATTAATCGACTCCCTAGTCGTGTCATTGGCAACCTTAGCCCTATGGAAAAATTGTTCACCACCAAACCTGATTACACGTTGCTTCGCACGTTTGGATGTGCCTGTTGGCCAAACATGCGTCCCTACAATACACACAAACTTGCTTTTCGATCTCATCAATGTGTTTTTGTTGGGTATAGCATTCGTCACAAAGGATATAAATGCCTTCACCTCCCTACAGCACGTGTTTATATCTCTCGGGATGTCACGTTTGATGAAAAGGTTTTTCCTTTTGCCAGCCCCTCTGCCTCTCCCATACCACCTCGCGTTGCAGAACACACCATACTCCTTTTTCCGCATGACCAAATGAACTATGTTGCACCTGTTTTGCCTTCTAATCTGGATGCAGGGACTCCCTTGGCGCAGAAGATCCCAGGTGCGGCAGTGGCGGCGTCCCAGGAAGATCCGGGCACGGGATCCGGAGCAGATCCGCCCTCGGATCGCGCGGCCTCCGCTGCCAGCGACGCGCCAGACGCGTGTGGGGTGGGAAGTTCCCCATTGGGCCACGCGGCGGCTGCGGACGGCCCGGTCGGCTCGTCGCCCGCCCCGTCCCCCTCAGCGGTGGGGCCCGCCACTGGCCCGGCTCCCTCCCGACCCGACCCGCCGCTGGCGGCTGCCCACGTGTCGTCTCACCAGTCCGTGGGCCGGCCCTCTCCTGCGACAGGCGCGCTGGCGCTGTCCGGTCCCTCCTCGGGATCGCCGCTGGATCCTCCTAACGCACCTGCTGCTGGCGCGGGATCCCAGGAGGATCGGTGTTCCTCCCCATCTCCCGCGTCCGGATCCTCTACGCCGTCCGAATCATCTGTGGAAGAGCCTCCTGCACCTCCTGCGCATACAATGGTGACACGCGCACGTGATAACACTCGCAAACTTCTACAACGTACGGATGGTACTGTCAACTACGATCCGTCCAAGCGTGCTTTTCTGGCTTCTCGGGAACCCAGGGATCTTCGTGAAGCGCTGGGATCTCCTGCGTGGCGTGATGCTATGCAGTTTGAACTGGATGCTCTTCGCCACAATGGTACGTGGACACTTGTTCCGCCACCACCTCATGCTAATGTGATTGACTGCAAATGGGTCTTTAAGGTTAAGTACAAAGCTGATGGCACTGTTGATCGTCACAAAGCTCGTTTGGTTGCCAAAGGGTTCAAGCAGCGCTACGGCCTTGATTATGATGACACATTCAGCCCAGTTGTCAAACCAGTCACAGTTAGACTGGTTCTCTCCATTGCTGTCTCTCGAGGTTGGTGTTTGCGCCAGTTGGATGTCCAGAACGCTTTTCTTCATGGAGTCCTTCAAGAACAGGTGTATATGCGACAACCACCAGGGTTTGTAGATGCCTCTGCTCCTCGGTATTTGTGCAAACTCAGGAAGGCCATCTATGGCCTCAAACAGGCTCCCAGGGCCTGGTATTCTCGGTTAAGCTCTCGCCTGCTTCAACTTGGTTTTGTGGCGTCCAAAGCAGACACCTCTCTGTTTATTTTCCATCGTGGCGGTGTCACCATGTTTATACTAGTTTATGTCGATGACATCATTGTGGCAAGTTCGTCACCAACCGCAACAACTAAGCTGCTTGCTGATCTTCATGCCACGTTTGCTCTCAAGGATCTGGGTCCTTTGCATTTTTTTCTTGGTGTTGAGGTGAAGTCGTCGCCCCAAGGGATTGTGCTCTCTCAACAGAAGTATATTGGTGATATTCTTCATCGAGCTAACATGGAACATTGTAATGTGTCCACTACTCCCATGTCCTCCAGCGAGAAGATCAGCAAGGAGAGTGGGGCACCTCTCTCTCAAGATGACAGTACTAAATATCGCAGCCTAGTCGGAGCACTTCAGTACTTAACGTTGACTAGGCCGGATATCTCTTTTGCCGTGAATAGAGTTTGCCAGTTTCTGCATGCACCAACAACTGCACACTTTTCAGCAGCCAAGAGGATCCTCCGGTATCTTAAGTATACTCGTGGTATGAGTCTGTCTATTCGTCGGTCACCTTCCATGGTGTTGAGTTGCTTCTCTGATGCGGACTGGACCGGGTGCAGTGATGATCGCCGCTCTACAGGAGGATTTGCAGTTTTTCTTGGTCCAAATCTTGTTTCCTGGAGCTCCAGAAAACAGGCCACCGTCTCACGGTCTAGTACAGAATCTGAGTACAAGGCCATTGCCAATGGCACAGCTGAGATCATCTGGGTTCAGTCTGTCCTTGGAGAACTTGGAGTCTTCATGCCTCGGCCTCCAGTATTATGGTGTGACAACCTTGGTGCCACTTACCTGTCCGCTAATCCGGTGTTTCATGCCAGGACCAAGCATATAGAGGTGGATTTTCATTTTGTTCGAGAAAGGGTTGCAGCCAAGGCGTTGAATGTAAGGTTCATCTCTTCCAAGGAGCAAGTGGCTGACATCTTCACCAAACCACTTGCTGAAGTGCCCTTTGTCTCGAATAGATACAATCTGAATCTCGTTGAAGGACGTTCAGATTGAGGGGGGATGTTAAACTGTATATTGTTAGTATATAGGAGTCGGTTTATATCTGTACTTATCTCCTGTAACTACCTGTATATTGTGCCCTAGCTGCACCCTATAAATACATCTCCCCGGCCACCACATTGGTTGCGCCGATCCAATCTTCTCCATCTCCTGTTTCACACGTCGTCGCCGCGTCCGCCGGTATGTATGACCGACAGCCTCTTCGGCGGCTCGTTTCATTTGACGTCACGTGCATCGGTGCATGGTCGTGATTGGTTGCCTTCGCGTCGCGTGCAGCGCTGCAGCTGATGACGAGCCAGGGAGCGCGCGCCATCCTCGGCCCGCAGTCGTCCGTCGAGGCGGCCTTCGTCGCCGACCTCGCCACGCGGGCCGAGGTCCCCGTCGTCTCCTTCTCGGCCACCAGCCCGTCGGTGTCGCCCGCCTCGGCCGCGCTGAGCGACGCGGCGCAGGCCGGCGCCGTCGCCGCGCTCGCCACGCACTTCGGGTGGCGCCGCGTCGTGCCCATCTACCAGGACGACGACTACGGCGCCGCCTTCGTGCCCTTCCTCGTGGACGCCCTCGCCGACGCGCGCGCCGAGGTCCCCTACCGCTGCGCGCTCCCGGAAGGGGCGGCCCACGACGCCATCGCCGCGGAGCTGTACCGCATGGAGTCCGAGCAGACGCGCGTCTTTGTGCTGCACACGCGCCCCGGGCTCGCGAAGAAGGTGTTCGCCGCCGCCGCGGAGGCCGGCATGACGGGCGCCGGCTACGCGTGGATCATCACCGACGGGCTCACGGGCCTCGTCGGCTTCGTCGACCCGCCGCAGGGCGTCATCGGGCTCGCGCCCTACGTGCCGACCACGCCGCGGCTGCGCGAGGTCAAGAGGCGGTGGGTGCGCCGGTACATGCGTGACCATCCGCAGGACGAGCCGGAGCACGCCGTGGTGGGCTGCTACGCCGTGTGGGCGTACGACGCGGCAGAGCGACTCAGCTCCGGCGACCTATCATCGCCGCCGGGGCTGGTGGGCGTCAAGGGCGGCCCCACCGACATCTCCGGGCTCGGCAAGTCAAGATCGGGCGAGAAGCTCCTCCGAGCTATCAACGACACGACGTTCGAGGGCCTCGGCGGCAGGTTTGAGCTCATCGACGGCGAGCTCGCGGTGCCAGCGTTCCGCGTGTTAAACATCGACGATGGGAAAGCCAAGGGCATCGGGTTCTGGACGCCGCGGCACGGGCTGAGCCGGCATGTCGGTCGCGGTTCCAGCAAAGCGAGCGGCGAGCTCTCGCCGTTCATCTGGCCGGGAGAGTCGACGGTCCGGCCAAGTGGGTGGGCGCAGCCGACGAGCGCCGCGAAGCTGCGGGTGGCGGTGCCGGGGAGGATCCCGCGCAGCTATCGGGCGATCATGCACATTGACGTGGACCCGGTGACGAACCGGACAACGGCCGGCGGGTTCGTGATCGAGGCGTTCGAGGCGGCGGTGCGGCTGCTTCCGTACGCTCTGCCGTTCGACTACGTGAAGGCGGACCCCATGCCCTACGACCACTTGGCCCAGGCGGTTAACACTTAACAATGGGGTAAGTCATTTCTTCCATCGCAAACCATGCCTCCTCGTCAAATCATGCATGTCGTTTTTCTTCAAGTCATGCATGCATTCATTTGCATTTTGCATTTTTTTTGCAAATCATTTACATTTTGCATTAATCTATCAATTCAAAGTTTCAAACTAAGCCACCTCATCAAGTCTAATCATGTCTTCTTCTTTTTTAAAATAAAGTTTTTCCCTCTTAAAGTAAGATCCAAGATCCTAACATCGACTGAGACTTAACAAAGTCTCAATCAACTGAGACTTAGCAAGACTGTTGTTCTTTTCCTCAATATTCATAGCCAGTTCATCACTATGAATTGAGAGGAGAGCGTCATCCTTACCAAGTTGGCTATAATCGTATACCATAGACCAGTCAACCTCATTCGCAAAAAAGGAAACCGGTCAATCTGCAGTGTGTTTTTCCAACCACTCAATCGAGGCCTGACCTAGCGCATATCAATATGACGTGAATGAAGATGAACAATAACCTACTCCCTTCGTTCTGAATTACTTGTCGCAGGTATGGATGCATCTAGATGTATTTTAGTTCTAGATACATCCATTTCTGCGACGAGTAATTTGGAACGGAGGGAGTAGGCTGTTGGGGAGAAAGATGAATGCCAGCCGTTGGATTTCAATTCATCGGTTCGAAATTCGACTGACCCTATTTTTTAGGCATCCTATGTATAGTCGGCCCCTGAATTCCCAGTTACAGGCGAAATAGCAATGCTTATAGAGGGTCTACCTTTGGGCTTCTCTTCATACATTACGTACTTGGTTACACACTATTCATGTGTTTATACATACCAAAGTATTTCAGTTGAGCAAAATTTGGATAAATAAACCTTTGTGGCCTTGCCCTTTGCTGCAGACATACGACGCGCTGGTGTGGCGGACATGACCATCACGGCGAAGCGGTCGGAGCACGTGGACTTCACGATGCCTTTCATCGCCACGTCGATCACCATGATTGTACCGCTACACGACCAACGGAGCAGCAACAAGTGGACGTGGGTCTTCCTCAAGCCGCTTCGCTATGACCTCTGGCTCGTCAGCGCCGCCTTCTTCATCTTCACCGGTTTCGTGGTCTGGGCCATCGAGCGCCGTGACAATGAGAGGTTCGGCGGGACGCAGTCGAGCCAAGCGGGCACCATGCTCTACTTTGGCTTCTCCACCCTCGTCTTCACCCACAACGAGAAGGTTAAAAGCAACCTATCGAGGCTGGTCGTGGTAGTGTGGGTCTTCGTGGTGCTCATCCTGCAGTCCAGCTACACCGCCAGCCTCACCTCCCTGCTCACGGTGCCGCAGATCGGGCCAACCATCGTGGACTACCGCACGCTGTTGCTAGGCACGGAGAAGGTGGGGATCCTCAACAACTCCTTGACACCGCAAGTCATAAACCAGTCTGGGCTCCCGCAGGCGGAGAGCTTTCAAGAGGCACTGTTGAACGGCAGCATCGGCACCGTCATTGACGAGACGCCTTACCTCAACATCTTCCTCCAGACCTACCGGGACAACTTCACCGTGACTGGCCAACCCAACATGACCGGCGGCTTCGCGTTCGCGTTCCCCAGGGGGTCACCGTACGTGAAAGACATGTCGCAGGCGATCCTGAACCTCACCGAGAGCGGCGAGATGAACAGGATCGAGCGCAAGTGGCTCGGCGACCAGGATGACCACAGGTCACAGGGCGGCGGACCGTTCACGACGAACCATCTCAACTTCAGCAGCTTCCGAAGCCTGTTTGTCATCACCGGCGCCACCTAGCTCATTTGCCTCACCATCCACCTTGCTTTCTTCCATAAGGAGGGCTACTGGTTACCCCTCCCGCAGATCATGTCACGCCCGTCGTGGAAGGTCAGGCTCTTTTTTTGACAGAAAGGTCTGCAGTGAAACTATGCCCGGTCGGAACCAGAATGATGTGGGAGCGGTTGCCTCCCCTCATACCTCGGACCATGTGAGCATCGTCGGTAGACTGCCCTGTGCGCCACACACCAACGAGGGGTCTGTTGAGATGGCAACCCAGACAACCAGTGAGATCGAGCCGGTCGCCGGCGGAGGAGGTAGATCATGCTCGTCACGCTAACCGGCTAACGTCTATGGAAAGAAAGACTGAGCAACTACTTCAAACTGCCATAGTCCAAAATACTTCCACTAGTGTCAAAATACGTCTTACACTATGGGACGGATGGAAGTATATCCCTTGTAGTAAACGACAAACGAAGAACTATTACTTGATGCCCTGTGAACACGTATTAAAGACTTTGTACAAAGTTTTTCTTTTGCTAACCTGTAAGAAGAAGAAATTAGTTGTGGGGAGTTTTCTTTTAGGTGGATTCGTATTGTCGTATCATTGTACTTATCCCTTTTGTTTCAAATTAATTGAAAATATTTGATGTTGTAAATATTACTTCCTCCGTTTCTAAATATAAGTCTTTGTAGAGATTTTACTATGGACTACATACGGAGCAAAATGAATGAATCTACACTCTAAAATGCATCTATATACATCTGTATGTGATTCATAGTGGAATCTCTACAACAACTTATATTTAGGAATGGAGGGAGTACAAATTTAGGGAATGAGATCCAATGCCTTGCTGTGAGCAAGGCACCGATGAACAGTACGATGACTGGCTCTCCTCTCCACACCGTCCTAGCCAGAATCAACGGCCAGATCTGCGTGAACAGTGGCAGTTCTACAATGTTCGGTCTACAGTACCCCACCTACAGTGTTCGGTCTACAGTCCCCCGTAGTGTTCTGCGCTACAG